TTCTTCAGAATATTCCTTGCTCTTCTCTTTCACGGATTATTACTCATTCTTCATGTGTTACAGCAATAGAAGTTATAGCTGTACAATTCTTCACATGAGCTGAGCAAACTTTGACAGGTAATGGCTTAACTTGTCCCCAGGGTTCTAGGAAGTTTAAAAAAAGAAAAAGAAAGCAGAAAGTAATAAAATCTCCATCCATTATTTTTCCACATTAATTGAGAAGGAGGAGCCTCCAGCTGCTAATATCAGTGCCTTCCAAAGAAAAGGCAGCAGAGGGCACACATCCTCCACCTCTTCCATAATAGCTGACGGCACAATTGGAGATGTATACCTCTTATGCAGAAGGTGCAGGTAGTGTTGGTTGGGGGGGTGGGGTGTGGCAATGGAATAGTAATAGGATAAAAATGTAAGTAGTTTATGGATAGAGTGAAAGATATGTTTTATAAGGGATTATTAGCTACTATTCTACTGAATGCATCATCAGTGATATCAGATGATACTAGCCCACATGTAACTAGTGAGAAGTGTTCCGATGAAGTCCTGCAGGACCCTATCTTCTAAATCATGTAAATAGCCAATAACTTTTTGTTTTGTTAATTGCACTGTGGATTTTAGCTTCCTTTTCTTGAACACATGCGAATAATTGGCATTAATACAAGACTGGGGAGCTTTGCTAAAGTAAACAACAATGTTGGAATCAGTAGCTTCTTGCACTTCTGTGAAATTCTATCTGATATTTTCTTGGACATGAAGTACAGCCAAACTTTCTGCAACGTTTGCACGTATCAGTGAACACATTGGTGCTGCATGTATTGCATCCCACCCTGCATGCCCAGAAATGTTGAAAGAGTAAGGTCACACTAAATTTGACATGGACAGACTGATACAACACTAGGATACCAAACTAACATTGAATGATTCATTGTTCAATGAATGGGCAAAAGCTATCTTTTCTACTCATATGTAAAACAACAGGGGGAATGAAGCAAGACACACTCCATTTTTAAAATGATAATGACATCACTTTCAAGGGGAGAATGATAAGATTGCCTTTTGTTGGTGATGGTCATAGCTGGTACCTGTGTGGCACAAATATTACTTGTAATTTATCATCACAAATTCGAATGATAACCAGATCTTACACAATGTCGACACAGGATGGTTTCAGCATCTGAGGAGTTGAGAATAATGCAGAATATTGCACAATCATCAAAGAGCATCCTATTTCTGACCTTATGTTGAAGGGAAGGACAATGGATGAAGCAGTTGAAGATGGTTGGACCTCGAACACTACCATGAGGAACTCTTGCAGTGATGTCCTAGGACTAAGATAATTGACTTCCAACAACTGCAACCATCTTTCTTTGTGCTAATTTTGACTCCAACAAACAGAGAGTTTTTTTTCACAATTCCCATTGACTTCAATTTTGAATGCTCCTTGATGCCAGAATTGGTTAAATGCTGCCTTGATATCCAGGGCAGTTTTCTCATCTTACCTTTGCAATTGAACTGTTTCCATGTTAAGATCAAGGCTGCAAAGAGGTCAGGTGCTGAGTGGCTCAGATGGAACCAAAATTGAGCACTGAGCAGGTTATTGCTGATCAAGCCTCTTGATTGCATTGCTCTTAACCCCTTCTTTATAGATGATCTGGGGTAGCCTGATGGGGTAGTAACTAGCTGGTTTGGAACTTTTCTTGTTTAATGTCAATAGGAGATTTAAGTGGACTTTGATGCTTCACGGGGGCTATGTTTGCCATTGTTCTTTCATTGCCTAGGTTGATGCCAGGAGGTGTGTCTAGTTTCATGCCTGTGTTACTTTTTAAGTAATTTACCAATTACTTGGTCTGACAAGTTGCAAGTAATATTTGTGCCACACAAACATCAGGCAATGACACAAAGACACCAATAGCCGAAGGCACTAATTCTGAAAATACTACAGGAGCGAAAGGGAGAGGAAACAAATACAAGAGAAAAGATATCTTAGAAACTAATGGGGCTAAAAATTGAAAAGTAACCTGGACCTGAAGGGATGTGTTGTAGGACATTTAAAAAGTAGTTCCAAAGACAGTGAATTCACAGGTTGTAATTTTCCAAGAATTCTTAGATTATGGAAAGTGGTAGAAAATTGGAAACAGCTAAAGTAACACCTTTATTCAAAAAGGAAGTAGACAAAAACAGGTAACTCTAGGTCAGTTGGCTTAATAATGGGAAAATGTTAGAGTCCATTATAATGATGTAATAGCAGAATATTTAGAAATGCATAATGTAATCAAGCAGAGTTAGCATGGCTTCACAAATCGAAAACCATGCCTGATAATTTACCAGAATACTTTGAGAAGGTAACTGAGGATTGATAAAGGGGATTGTTAATCACAGTTACCTAATATACAGTTGATGATTTTTAACCATTTTCTGATCATTTATTGAGAAGCAGTAATTAAGCTATGATACATTAGTTAATTAGATAAATAAAATTTACAACATGACAATTGGGCATGGTTTACCAAAACCGGACAATAAACAGGCTGTTGGCACAGAATGTTTTGGTTTGCTAAAATGGTGGGGAGGGCATCCTGTTCTTTAGCTGAGGTGTTGGGGAACCCTTTTTCTCTGGGTCTTCCTCCACTTCTTTTGCTCCGTGTTCCATCTGCCTGATGAAGACTGCCTGAAAAAGATTGCTCTTATGGGGCCGCCTGATGAGAACTGCTTCCTTCGAGAATTATCCTCTGCTCCTGAGCAATTACTGTTATATGATATTTCTATGGTGACAGATTACTTTCTCTGTGTAAATCAATTGTCTGAACCCATTTGGTGATTAGCCCTGGGGCACCTACTCATGACATTGGGTGACCAATTTCTCCTTGCTCACCTTCACCTGAGGGTTAGTTTACCATTTTATCTTAGAATAAATTCTTATTTTTTAAAATAATGAGCATTGATAATTGGGTGTATTTGGCTTGTTGAAAGTACAACATTGGACATGGTGACCTGTGTGTTTCTTGTAATTCTTCCCTTTTCCAATTCTAGAATTTTGGAAAGTTCTTTTGTAATAACTATTAAATGAAATATCATGTTACACAGTGAATACTAGGAAACATAAATTTTTAAGGGACCACATTATCCAACAGAAGGCAGTGGATGTCATATATTTGGATTTCTAGAAGGCATTTGATAAGGTGCTGGATGTTAGGCGACTTAATACGAATCCATGATGTTGAAAATAGTAAATTAGTATGGATAGAGGTTTGACTAACTAATAGACGACAGAGGTTTGGAATAAAGGGGGCATTTTCAGGGGTGGGGGGGGAACCTGAGACTAGAAAAGTGCCATAGGAATCAGTGCTAGGGTCACAAAATCTTTACAAAATACATCAAAGTCTTGGATGAAAAAAATGAATGTACTACAGTCATGTTTACTAATTATACTAAATTAGGTGGGAAGGCAAGCAGTGAGGGTGGCACAAAGAGTTTGCCGAGAGTAAGCAAATGGGCAAAAACTTGGCAGATATAACATAATGTTGGAAGATGTAACATTATGCCCTTTGGAAAGAAGAATGGAGGAGCTGAATATTATTTTCTGCAGAATGTTACTGCATAAAGGTATTTGGGAGTCCTCAAGCTTAAATTGCAAAAAGCTAAACTACAAGTCAAGTCTGGTATGTATTGGGAAGGCATTAAGAACACCAAAGCCAGGAGTATAGTGAAATATGTCTATTTGCTTGGAATAGGTACAGCTGCAAAAACATTTGGATACCATCCAATCGACTTAAACATTCACTCACTCCAAACTGGCACCCACTAGCAACAAGATGTGCTGCAGCAACTTGCCCAATCTTCTTCAACAGCATCTGCAAACCCATGATTCTGTTACCCAGAAGGCCAAGCGCAGCAGTTGCTTGGAAATAATGTAACCTAAAAGAAATCTCTAAATCAGATCATGCTAATGTTAAATTACATCACTTAACAGCACTGTAATCACCACATGTCATGCAGTGATTCAACGGGTTTTTTTAAGGGCAATTTGTCATGGACTATACATGTAGCTTTGCCAGCAATGCCCATGTTCCATGAAAGTAAAGAAATGTGGCATTGTCCGAACAGGTGAGATAGAGCTGGAGAAACTGAGAGAATGGAATAGCCTTTATAGGAAGCTGATTGTGAGGAAATGTAGTCAAGGTAGTTGTGGACAAAGATGTCCCTATACTAGACATGGATCCACACATTCCAGGAAACAAGACTGGCAGATTGAGGAAGGAAAGAAAATAATTAGAGGTGTAACATGTGAAGAGTGAAAATTGCAAAACAAAGTTGGTTTAAAATTTTCCAGTTCAAAGCAAGAGTCAGAAACTGAACTATTATAGTCATCAATGTATTGGAAATCGAGATAGTAGAAGGTCTGAGTAGGATTTGAACAAAAACATCTGATTTCACCTCCCAAACATCTTGTCTCCAGGAATGATGGAAACAGCATATTATGGAAGATAAAATTGATACTTTACGGGTACAACAAAGGTAGGCCTGCAAGCCATGACAACTCTGTAGGATGTCTTAAAGAATGCATCAATGCTTTCATGATTTTTACCAACAAAACAGCAAATTCTCTGTTAACTAAGTTGAATCCTGAAACACTCAGCCCCATTTTCAAGGAATAGCAATTTACTCCTATGCAGTTCATAATATCAAAATATTGTAATGTAGACATGTCTGCAGTGGTTGATATTTCGGGTCAAGAATTGGTATTAAGGAGGTAACATTAATAGTGTGGAAACAGCCCAAAGAACATTAAAGAACACAGCACCGCTGATCACCATTTGCCAACCTTCTTAACTACCTAAAATAAAATATTTTAGTGAAGCACACGAAAGAATAAAGGAATTGTTGCACAAGAATCTGGATTTCAAATTAACAGCCTTTGCCTGTTTCCTCTGATGTCTGCCCAAGAAACGGGACTACTGCGCATGTAGCAGGTGCATATATGTTTCTCCTCCATCTTGAGAAACAGTTTCATCCACAAAATACATTTTAGACAAAGTAATAGTGGCCGATGTATTAATGGTGCAGCGGATTGAGAATGCAGTGGGGAGGATTAAGGTCAGGGCAGTGAGGTAGCAGCTTGCTCGGTCTGTCAGCGCTGTCAAAAGTCCAGCACTGACCTCGCTGATGGAAAACAAGCACATGCTGGGGGAGTCGAAAAGATCTCAGCTTTTTTTAAAAAAAAATTGCACCGACATTCACGGTGAGTAGGAGCCGTCAGTTTTTTTGTTTGATAGCAGAGACGCACTTTCTAAATCTCGCTGCGCCGAATGGTGTGTAGCTGAGTAGTCTGAGAGAGCTGATGAGGCGCCATCGCCCTGTATTGTTTCATATTTTGCTGGTCGCGGTGGCCCCGGCCTCTGACCGGTTGCGGCTTCAATTTCTGGAGGTTTGTTGTTTTAAAGACCGCCTGAAATCCGTGAGAACAAAGCAGCAACCGTCTGCCATAGAACAAATGTAATATGTTTCTTTTTACATCGAGATGAAATGCTATTTATGTGCATGTACTTAGGACCGAAAAATACCATATATTAAGCATACTCTGATTACTAAAGGATTTTTTTGGGAAATTCAAGCAGAATGTTATAAATATCCCGACAAATACTGGACAAAATCTTAGTATCATTGAGACGTTGCAAATTAAAAGAAATAGTGCTTAAAAAATAATGAATGCGGTGCTAGATGGCAGAGACTAGAGCAGTGAACGTGTGGCAGCAATTAAATATTGGTGTCTGGTGATCAGTATGCGCTCTAGTGTTGGAACATCAATCATATACACACACTACTGACATTGACGCCTACACATTGTAATTCCGTCTCTCTGGCGTTTCTCTGTTTTGCCATTTTCAAAATGGAGTTCCTTGGAAGGATTAATATTTGCTGACTTTTTCTTCTTATTCCAGATTAAGATTGTGCTGGACCAATCAAGTTAAGAATGGAGCTGACCAAAACATTCCTTCTCATCTCTTTATGCTTTTGGATTGAACTAGGCTTGTCTAGTGATAAATCTTCAAAGAAAGGAAAGTCCAAGAAGAAGCAACATCTGTGTCCGTCGTAAGTTATCTTCACTATCATTTCACTATTATAATTAGTATGTGTGATTTTTGGAAGTTGGTGCTTCCCAAGAAATTATAATCAGTGGTTTCAGGCTCATCAAACTTTTCCAAATATCATACAACTTTACCAAATAATATGGCAAGAGTATGATTACTGTTAATTCTGACAATCTTAAAAAGCTTCTACCGTTAGTGAAAAATACTCAAAGGCTTCATGTTTCATAGTCATTTTCTGTCATATAGATATGTCAGAACAAGGTTGCGTGTTTAATTAATGTCAGTTGTTATATACTTTTTTTACAGATAGAAGAAAAGGTTTCCCAAAATTTCCTCAAAGTCTGTTTTAAATATACACGTGAATGTGTTTGAAAAAAGGCCTGCAATTATTCCCATGTCAAATATCATCATATTGCTTCTGTGTACTGTAGAAGTAACAACTAGATAGATTTGGGTGTAAATAACCTAAGGCTTCTATGCCATTTTTCGGTACAGTTCTACACCACATAAATTGCAGCACTTCAAGAAGGTAGCTCACCAAGGAAAAATATGAACGGGCAATAACCAGCCAGTGATGCCTACATCCTGTGAGTGAATAAGTTTTTAAAAAAAGGGAATGACTACTGAAAATTATGGTGTAGTATAGATCACTTTGTTCACCAGTTAGAGACAGAAGCTGTGAACTTCTGTGATATCAGAAGTCAGTTGTAAATGTTAGAAAAGTGTGAAGAACCATGTTGTAGTTTCTAAACACCTAACGGTCCTGCACGATATTCCCTTAGAACTACAGCTGAGGCTAATGGCATAAAACTTTCATCAAATCCAATGGGAACATACCAACTTGTCATTTGGAGATTGACCAGATTGTTTAAGTGAGGAGTGAGGGAAATGGGAGTGTCAGGAAAATACGATTACAACCCTTTTGAGCGAACAGAGTTCTCTGTGCCGAAGTGAATGTTACATTTTACATTTATATTGAACAGTCTGAAATGCATGTCCCTATTCTGTCCAGTCTTTTTTTTACCATGTTCCATTACGACAGTCATAACAAACAGTCCATGTTGCTGCGATTCTACCAATTAATCAAACTCAAATCTGTAGGAACCATCTTAAGACCATAAAACGCAGAAGTGAGGTAAGCTATTCAGTGAGATGTTAGCTGATCTGAATCCTTGTATTCACTTTTTCTGTTTTATCCCCATAACCCTACAAACCCTTCATGATTACAAATCTGTCTATCTCAGACTTGAATATTCTTAATGATCCAGACTTGACAGCCTCTGCAGTAAAGAATTCCACAGATTCACCACCTGCTGAGAGAAAAAGAAAACCCTCCTCGTCACTGTTTTGTGGGCAATTTATAACTGTGATTGTGCTGTCTGGTCTCAGACTCTCAAAAAGTAACAACCCTTCCACATCTCCCCTTTCAAGACCCATAAGAAGCTTCTGTGTTTCAAAAAGATCTCCTTTCATTCTTCAAAACTCCAATGAGTACAAGCCCAACCTCTTCTGATAAGAAAATTCCACCATACCTGGGATCAATCCCGTGAACCTTGTTGTGCTGCCTCCCACACTAGTATATCTTTCTTTAGATAAGGAGACCAAAACTATTCACAATATTCCAGCTGTGCTCTAACTAGGACTTCCTATAGTTTTAGCAAGATCTACTATTTTCATATTCGATACCCTTTGAAATGAAGGCCAATATTCCATTTACCTTCTCTATTATCTGCTAAACTTGTTTGCTAGCTTTCTGTGAATCATGTACTAAGACTGTTGGGCTCAGACTTGTACATTTCAAACAAAAGTTGCACAGTTACAAATTTGCCTCCCTTGGTACACAGGGCCTGCCCATAACTCCTTTTGGAAATACAGTATATAGTGGATTGTTATCAGTGTGTGAAAATCCTGTAGGCCCCACTGATGTCAAATTGCCAAAATCCTCTTTCTCATGCCAGGCAGATGAAGTTCAGTACTAGGAATAAAAATTCATTTAAGAAAACTAACCCACTAGGTTTTCAGACACTGCTAAAAACTTACCTTGTTCTTTTGTCACGCTGGTAATGGTTACTTTGGTAAACTTATTTGATGTAATTAGAAATCTAGGTATAGAATTTTATGAACAAAATTAGTTTCTTTCCATTAATACAGTATTTGCCTACCATGTGTATTTTATGGTCTACTATCATGTATTCTGTATACACAAAGAATATACAGTCATATGTTTGCCTGCAGAGTAATATTTCTACTGTCTGCGCATCTAGAAAATATTGAACCAGAGATAGTAGGAACTGCAGATGCTGGAGAATCCGAGACAACAAGGTGCAGGGCTGGATGAACACAGCAGGCCAAGCAGCATCATAGGAGCAGACAGGCTGACGTTTCGGGCCTAGACCCTTTTCTGATGAAGGGTCTAGG